TTTCAATTTCATTATTAGATATTTCATTTTCCAAAGGGAGAATTGCAGTTTTCCTCTATCAATTTTGGTAATTTGGACATTTATATATCACGTGAATCTGTTGTAATATGGGGCATACTGCAACAAAACCAGACAAAGTGAACATTGGTATTACCAAGAATTTCGGGTTTCAAAATTTAGTCATTATTATCACAATCATGTTGTAATTATAATTTAACAGTCCAATTTGTTTATAAAAATAGTTAAGATGTAATTAATTTACATCAGATCTGCCATGGAACCAAAGAATTACAGCACCATTAGAAGTATTTTGAAAAAGGAACAAGGTGAAAAAATTCTCCTTATATTTTCAAAATAAATGATACTTGGCACTTAAAACTTATCTAAAAAAGAAAGGATTACCTATGAGATTTACCAAGAGGAAAGAAAAATAATAAAAGAAAGCAAGATGGGGATGTGCTATTATGAGACAAAAGATTGAAATCTCTGGGCAAAAAAATCTAGTACAAACTTACTTTTGTCACCGATTAAATTTGGGAGAGCGTATTTTAATTGGTGATAACAATTATTTTTATTTTTGCGTGGATCAGAATGAATAGGGGATCAACGAATTGATTTTGTTATTAGCGAATAACTTTGTGTAAAGAAGATAATAAATAGTTTAAATAAAATATTTATTTTATCTATTTAGTTTTCTTAGTCGAAACTAATTAACTTGTTATCAAGTTACTTTTACAGTAGGTCAAGTTCGAGTTCTTTATATACATATTGATTAATTATAAGCCCATATGGGTTCGCACGCCCGTTTGGGTTTACCATATGGGCGCATCGTCACTAATTTCTACTAAATATAGTTAAATAAATTAAATAAATATTAACGTGTTACGGATTAATTAATAAGAATAATAAAAAAAATGATTATACGAAACGTAACACTATCTATCTGCTTTGACCATAATTTAAGAAGTCTCTTTTTCATGATTGAGCACTGATTTTTTTTTTACAGTGCAGGACACCTAATCCTGCAACTTCCTGCGCCACGACGACGAATTTTGGGAAAAAATTTCCAATCAAAAATGCAATAAAAATTGTTTTGTCATGTGATATTT